TTGGATCTTGTTCGATATCCAGTGGTTGGTTCTTTCACCTCCATTAAAACATTCACACTTGCTAAACGAGGATCTCCTGTTTGTAAAACCTTTGCAAGAGCAGTGGACGTGACCTTTAATTTGTAAAGGCCAAAAAAAGAATTGTTGATTATGTGCCCACTTGCTTAACACACAAGTCAACCCATTCGCATAGTCCTTTAAGTTTGAAATAGATTCAAGTAAGGAAAACATCTTTACAACGTCTTGGTGGTGGAAGAGTTTTGCAAAAATAAACACTATTGATTGAATAAATAGTAAATCATTTGAAATTGAAAGCTTAAGCACACAAGCTTTGATGATTTGTCCAATAATATCTATATTGAGAGCAGTGCTTAGTTTGGCAAAAATTTCAGTCACAAGTTCTCCGACTCCAAAAGCTGCTGAATCACTGAAATTTGGTTGAAGTAATCTAGCTATATACTCTAATAAGAACTGGAATGAAGATACTTGATGTTGTTGGCTTATAAATCGATGTTGCACAATCATTTCCTCTCCAACATGAACAATAGATCTAAGACACTCAGTGATCTTTTGAATCCATGATGGCTCCTCATTAGAAAATCCCAAATTCATCAAACTAGGGTATAGAGTGTTTAACACGGTAAGCATATCCTCTTTTTAGCATGTACAATAATTGTGTGAGAAAGGTCAAGCAAATTCTCAATAAAATCTGGAGCTGTTGCAGTTGCAGAGCTAATGAATATTTGAGAAATTTTGGGAATTACATTGTTGACAAGTTGGGCTTCCGTTTCTGGAATTTCTGCCAATTTATCAAAAACGTTGATAATATCGCTTGCAATAGTTCTGTCGTTCGAAAATTTGCTTAGCTGGGTTAGCATAATAGAAATAACGGTCTCACTGTGAGGAATAACAACTTGTGGAAGAAACTAAAACCAAGTTAAAATTATCAACAACACAAATTATTGACTTACATTAACAAAAACAGCAATGCTTTCCAATGGAATGTACATGGGCTCTTCTCCAATATCATTCACTAGTTTGCACATGCTTGCCAAAATGCCATGTAAAAGTTCGTCTCTACTTGCTCCAAATGATGATAGCAAAGAATCTAATAGAGGTTTTTCTAAACAAAAAACTCGAGCTGTAGCTTGACATGAGTACAATCTAATTGGTATAGGCTGATTCTCTGCCATATGGTTCACATAAGTAATAAATAATTGCTTGATCATATCCAAATTGACCGTGAACAATTTTGGATTTGAAATTTGATTCAAAAAGTAGCTTGAGCATTGAATAGCTCTGGATTTCAAAAATGGTAAATGCTCTGAGGAAACATTCAAGTCGTTATCAAGTAGTTGAGAAATCAAAGAAACGAGGTCAAAAACTTTTGGATTGTCTTCTATGTGATCTCTAAACTCAGTAAAGCTAGAAATAGTCATTAGAGAAGCTTCTCTCAACTTCCACCAGGTACTACTGTTAGGGTTTTGAATATATAAAGATTGAGACTCTTGCATTCTCTTGTTGTAAGCATCTAACAAACTCTCAATGCCTAGAGTGTCATAGGTCTCATTAAAATCCTCAAGCAATTTCAGACATGATGTTCGAATGCTATAACTAGAGAATTGATTATCTTCTTCCGATACAAATTGTTCAGGATTGTCTTCCCATAACTCCATCAAATGCTGAGGTAATTGGCAATATCCTAAAAGTAAATAAGTTAATTGAGCCAAATTATTTTTGTTGGATGACAGTATCTTGGAAAGTTGACGACTGCATACAATAGTAGCCAACAACTCGATTTGCTGGCAAATAACTGTTGTAAAGTTGATGCTTTCTCCTTCGGTGTCAAACCTTTCAGCAATCTGGCTTGTCGCAATTCCACTTTCATTTGGTGAAAGGATTGCATGTTTAAAATAAATTTCATATTCACTACTCAAGGAAGTACAAGTAGATTGCAACACGTGAATAACAGCGTCTTGTAAACTTTTTCCAAATTCTTTCACCAATATGTTCATCGTTTTTACGCATTCCATCTTAAAGGAACAATCTGAGTTTACATTTGTAATTGGATTGGAAATTTCTCCCAGAATTAAATTCAAAGTTTGCCCAATAAGGGTTGGGTTGGGTTTGGGTTTGGGTTTGGGTTTGGGTTTGGGTTTTGGGTTTGGGTTTGGGTTTGGGTTTGGGTTTGGGTTTGGGTTTTGGGTTTGGGTTTGGGTTTGGGTTTGGGTTTGGGTTTGGGTTTGGGTTTGGGTTTGGGTTTGGGTTTGGGTTTGGGTTTGGGTTTGGGTTTGGGTTTGGGTTTGGGTTTGGGTTTGGGTTTGGGTTTGGGTTTGGGTTTGGGTTTGGGTTTGGGTTTGGGTTTGGGTTTGGGTTTGGGTTTGGGTTTTGGGTTTGGGTTTGGGTTTTGCTTTGGGTTTGGGTTTGGGTTTGGGTTTGGGTTTGGGTTTGGGTTTGGGTTTGGGTTTGGGTTTGGGTTTGGGTTTGGGTTTGGGTTTGGGTTTGGGTTTGGGTTTGGGTTTTGGGTTTGGGTTTGGGTTTGGGTTTGGGTTTGGGTTTGGGTTTGGGTTTGGGTTTGGGTTTGGGTTTGGGTTTGGGTTTGGGTTTGGGTTTGGGTTTGGGTTTTGGGTTTGGGTTTGGGTTTGGGTTTGGGTTTGGGTTTGGGTTTGGGTTTGGGTTTGGGTTTGGGTTTGGGTTTGGGTTTGGGTTTGGGTTTGGGTTTGGGTTTGGGTTTGGGTTTGGGTTTGGGTTTGGGTTTGGGTTTGGGTTTGGGTTTGGGTTTGGGTTTGGGTTTTTGGGTTTGGGTTTGGGTTTGGGTTTGGGTTTGGGTTTGGGTTTGGGTTTGGGTTTGGGTTTGGGTTTGGGTTTGGGTTTGGGTTTGGGTTTGGGTTTGGGTTTGGGTTTGGGTTTGGGTTTGGGTTTGGGTTTGGGTTTGGGTTTGGGTTTGGGTTTGGGTTTGGGTTTGGGTTTGGGTTTGGGTTTGGGTTTGGGTTTGGGTTTGGGTTTGGGTTTGGGTTTGGGTTTGGGTTTGGGTTTGGGTTTGGGTTTGGGTTTGGGTTTGGGTTTGGGTTTGGGTTTGGGTTTGGGTTTGGGTTTGGGTTTGGGTTTGGGTTTGGGTTTGGGTTTGGGTTTTTGGGTTTGGGTTTGGGTTTGGGTTTGGGTTTGGGTTTGGGTTTGGGTTTGGGTTTGGGTTTGGGTTTGGGTTTGGGTTTGGGTTTGGGTTTGGGTTTGGGTTTGGGTTTGGGTTTGG